CTTAAATATTGGTTTGTAGATAACTTTCCACAGTTAAACCTTGAATTTCTGATAAATTTCATTCTCACTTTAACTTAATGGGAGTGATTTGTTTCTCTCTAGTCTGGTTCCCAAGTATCTGGGACCTGCAGTCACCCACAACTCATGGTGCATGCATGTTGTAGTTTACCGTGTTGCAAGTGAACATTAATTTCAACATCAGTTTTATTGACATGTTTGCTCAGACCATAAAAAGGCAATTTTGTGTTTATTATAAAGAGCTGGGATGAGATCTGTGCTTAAAGTGAGGGTTTTAGGATGTGCATGGTGAGGGTGCACTTGAGATAAATATCAGGAGATGTTCATACAGGGCCGCAGATGTACGATACTGATCTGATATTTATGTCTCATCAAATAGTGTTTAAGGTTGTTGCATTTGTCATTGAAACTGAAAAATATTCCAAAGTAATGTGTCTGAAGTTAATGGTCTCGACTGGAATTTTGACTGACTTATTAAGGAGATTTGTTCTCTTTCTGCTGAAGGTGTTGGATGTTGATGCCATCATGCATAATCCTGTGTGTGTGTGATCAGCTGTCAGTGGGTGTGTGAGTCAACGTGTGAACTAACAGGATGTGTCTTTTTGTGTCTCAGTGTACATGAGGTGCACAGGAGGAGAAGTTGGTGCCACCTCCGCTCTGGCCCCCAAAATTGGCCCTCTGGGTCTGGTGAGTTTGTTATATTACATTTTTAGTCTTATTGTCATAGAAACCGAACACAAGCCTCCCGCCACTATACCTGTCTGTCCCTGTGACCGAGTATAATCCAGTGGAGGCTCAGAGTGACCCGGCTTTAGGAAACAGAGCTGCTCACACTCATGGACATCTCTGTGCCGTAAAGATCGGAACACTGACCGAGACGAACGCCGCGTTTAGATTTAAATAAGGACACGTTAAGAGACGAGTCACAGAACAAGTGTTCGTACAGCAGTTTGCCTTTGTTCATCTGTAGGATCTTTAGACCGCCTTTAAATTTGAAAGATGCTGGTGTGATTTTAGTTTTGTTGTTTCTGACCTTGACCTTTTCTTCTCCCTCATTAGTCTCCCAAGAAAGTTGGTGATGACATCGCCAAGGCCACCGGGGACTGGAAGGGTCTGAGGATCACCGTGAAGCTGACCATCCAGAACAGACAGGCGGCGGTGCGTATGATGACCTCGCACGTTAACGCCTCTCTGCTCACAGCGGTCTGTGAAGGCATGGAGGATAACCTGATGTCCTTTTCTTGTGTTTTCAGATCGAGGTCGTTCCCTCAGCGTCCGCTCTGATCATCAAAGCTCTGAAGGAGCCTCCTCGTGACCGCAAGAAGGTCAAGAACAGTGAGTTTGAACATGGCCGTGCTCAAACTACTTGGTTCAAGTCAACATAAAGTGCATTCTCTTACATTCTTCTCTTTTTCAGTCAAGCACAGCGGCAGTGTGACCCTTGACGAGATCATCGGCGTTGCTCGCGTCATGAGGCCTCGCTCCATCGCCAGGGAACTCTCCGGTGAGTTTTAAAACTGAACACTGAGATTCATTATCTTCTACCCATGTCTGAACTGCACAAATAACCTTGCCAACATTTCGGTACAGGCACAAAATGCAAATGACCTGAGAACTGAAATGTTTTAGAGTCATGTGTTAATTCACTGCCATGCCCACACCGCCAGAATACAATCAACCCCCACGCTCGGGCCAGTAGTTGGTGGTGGGACTTTGTAATAAAACACCATGTGCATTTAGAACTCGCCCTCCTGCAGAGCGTTGTGGTGGGGTTCTTTCCCGGAGTGACAGAACGCTGCGTTGGTCATTGTTTTTGTAGTCCATCTACCCGCTCATGGCTACTGATCTGTGTGCTTCACACACTCGCGCCTCCTGTTTGAATAGAACTAGACAGACGTTTTGTGTAACAAGCCTCCCGCCACTATACCTGTCTGTCCCTGTGACTGAGTATAATCCAGTGGAGGCTCAGAGTGACCCGGCTTTAGGAAACAGAGCTGCTCAAACTCATGGACATCTCTGTGCCGTAAAGATCGGAACAACGACCACAGCCTTAACACCTCTTAAATCCAGACCTGAATAAAACCGCCTCCTTGTATCATCCTGACCATCTGTGTTCTTTCTTTCTCAATCAGGAACCATCAAAGAGATCCTGGGGACCGCTCAGTCTGTCGGCTGCACCATCGATGGTCGCCCTCCTCATGATGTCATCGATGACATCAACAGCGGCAAAGTGGAGTGTCCCACTGAGTAACTGGACCAGACTTTGAATAAAAAGTTGAGAAAAAGAGCAGCTTGTGTTTGTCCTGTTTCCTATACTGTAGTATACTTGAAGTGGTGATCAGATGGTGACTGAAACCCCAGGGTGGTTTATTGTCAAGTACATTTACACATAGAAGGAATTTGTAGTCAATTTATTTTGTATAGCATCAACTCGTAACAAGTGTTATCTCAAGATACTTTACAAAAAGCAGGCAAAATACCTTACTTATTGCTATATTACAAAGACCCAGCCTATCCATCATGAGTACTTCATTGGTGCTAAACAAGACTCAAACTGACCATGAGGTTAAGAGTGAAGGCTGAGTTATGTGTAAAATGTCCTGCAAAATAAATAGCTCCCAATGAGAACTGTTTGAATCCTCATCTGGGTTAATAACCTCAATGTGGGTTTTCTAGACCATCAGATGTTTGGCTTGCTTCAGAGTGAGACTGCAGTCAGCTGTACTGAGGTCAAACAGGGTCACCATGTCTTTTGAATACTCTTATTTACATTTCTGGCAGGTATCCTTTACGACTGAGTATTAGGGCTACTAAAGTTGATATTTAGTGTGAAATTTGTAAATCAACTTGAATGAGGCTGTTAGAAATTAATATTCTGAAAGCTATCATAAGAGTGCCATTACCCAAATGATGGAAGGAGAACCCTTAAAGAGAACTTCCTGTGTCAGTGTTCTTCATCTCCAGGTTTCTTTCCTGGTTGTGTAATGACTAATGTGTTATGAATTTATATAAACTACAACAATAAGCTAAGACTAGTTAGTGCAAAACTGTTAATCTTTGCACTTTGATGTCCCAATCCTCCTCTTCTCCTGTCTTCTGTGGATCAGTTCCAAGCTCACATTAAAGAGGACATATCCCCCCTTCTCCATCTTTTCATACAGTACCCCTGTGGTCTGAATGAAACATCTGTGCTGTGCTTTGGTCCAAATATAACATGAATCAAGCACCAGAGGAGGTTTGTGACCCTGTATAAACCAGCTCTCTCAGAACGCTCCGTTTTGGTGTCTCTTTAAATTCAACGAAGAAACCCAGATCACTCCAGCTCACCACTGGATTGCCACAACCAAGACCCTGACACACCAAGCAGACAGCAAAGAGGTGTCGCCTCACGTCTTGGCCAAAAAGTTGCACTTGAACACACCACAAAGACTACAGCCGACGGCCAATCACCACGTACGTTCTGCTCACGAGGAGGAACTAACTCTCCATGCCAGCAGGGGGCGGTAGTCTGTTATGATATGAGAAGACCGTTTTCACACTGCTGTCGGTCACCACTCGTATTATAAGTCGCCTTCTAATGGAGAATAATGTCTGATAAAAAGTTGAAAATGGCGCTGGCGTTGTCAGTCCTTGGTGTTTTAGTGGGAAAAGAAGAAGCGGAGGAGACAAATAAGGAGAAACCACACTAAAGGGTGAAAGCATGGATACTACAGCGGCATGCTCAAGAGGCTTTCCTGAACCTGTGTTGAGATGGAGATAAATGAAACATCCCAACAGCCAGAGAGATTCCTCTCACCGACCGCCGATGCCGATTCCCCATGTTGAATCAGCCCCAAAAAATGCTGACTGGTAGCGACGGACCCGGACACACTGCAAAAACTAGGACCGACCGCTGATGATCTCCTTGGTGTGTCAGGGCCTCAAAGGTTAGAGGTTATGCTGATGGCCCGCTGAGTGTGTGTGTTCTTTGAAGTCAGTTAGGACTCGATGCAGTAAAAACCTTTTTATACAAAATATTTATTGAAAATCTCAAACATCAAAAACGTTTCTACAAAAGTATAAATGGTTCCACAACGAGCCGCCACATATTATTATAAACTCACTAAACCGCTCTAGATTCTGTCGGAGCGTTAGAACTCAAACTGGATCCAAATTCAAGCTGAGACTGTGAAGGAAAGACCTGCAGGGGAGGGATGTACTGCGGTTCAACATCATCACAAGTCCCAGGCAGCGACTATCAGAGTTCTTTCTTCTTCTTTGAATCACTGGAAGCTGCAGGAGGTCGTCTGCAGCTCCGTGTGATAGAAACAAGAAGAGACACTGTGTTGGGACTCTAACCTGCTAACACGTTTTGTGTTCTGACGCCCTCTAGTGGAGAACTGAAGAATCAGATTATTTACCTAAAATCAGTCGGTGAGTTTGTTTTACTGTCTGTGTGAAGGTGAAGCAGTAATATAAAAAAAGACGACATATAGAAACGAAGAGGAAGAGCTGATGCCGTTTGACTTTGTGCTTTTGTTTGTTGGAAGACCGCAGCTGCAGCGCCGCCATCCGAGTCCCCTCTCCTCCGATGAGCTCATCATCCACGGACTGATCCACTGCAGCTCTATGTTGACCCAGCAGAACCTGAACGCATCACGCCCAGCCGGCGATGACCTCATAAGTTGATCGATCATCAGTTCTCCACTTCCTCCTCGTCCTCCTCCTCCGCCTCGTTCTCCGCTTCAGGCTCCTCCTCCATGCGTTCCTCCTCCTCCTCCTCTTCCTCCTCCCGACTCTTGTCGTTCTCCGAGTCGTTCTTCTTCTCTTTATCTTTTCGTTTCTGCTCCGACACTTCCTTCTTTCCCTTCTGGCCCTTCTTGTAAACTGTAGAAGAGAAACGTTCAATTTGAGATCATCAGAAACTTGAACACACCGGCCATATTTTCATCATTTACAACCTTTAGGTCAATTTTCAGGTCAAATATTTGGAGGTTAACACCGCATCCTAACAGCATGGTACACTGCCTGTCCACACTGCATCCATCTGATCTGTGAATTTCAGTTTCACTTGTTAACATATGGTGCTTTTATTTTGAAGATGGACAAACTGAAGTGTGGTGCTTTTATTTTGAAGATGGACAAACTGAAGTGTGGTGCTTTTATTTTGAAGATGGACAAACTGAAGTGTGGTGCTTTCATTTTGAAAGTGGACAAACTGAAGTGTGGTGCTTTTATTCTGAAGGTGGACAAACTGAAGTGTGGTGCTTTTATTTTGTAGATGGACAAACTGAAGTGTGGTGCTTTTATTTTGAAGATGGACAAACTGAAGTGAGGTGCTTTTATTTTGAAGACGGACAAACTGAAGTGAAGTGCTTTTATTTTGAAGATGGACAAACTGAAGTGAGGTGCTTTTATTTTGAAGACGGACAAACTGAAGTGTGGTGCTTTTATTTTAAAGACGGACAAACTGAAGTGTGGTGCTTTTATTTTGAAGGTGGACAAACTGAAGAGTGGTACTTTTATTTTGAAGGTGGACAAACTGAAGTGTGGTGCTTTTATTTTGTAGGTGGACTAACTGAAGTGTGGTGCTTTTATTTTGTAGGTGGACTAACTGAAGAGTGGTGCTTTTATTTTGAAGGTGGGCAAACTGAAGTGCGGGGCCTTGTAGTGACATAGAAGGCGACGTGAGATGAACTTTGCCTGTGTCCTGCTCTCTGAGGATCACCAGTTCAGATAAATCAAAGTGGCGTACTGACCCTCCAGAGCTTCTCTGAGCGGCTCCAGGAAACGTTCAAACTCCATCTCCTCCATCGCAGCCAGGACGTCTCCTGCGTTCAGAGTTTTCCTCTTCGCTTTCATGGCAAAGTTATTTGCACTGTGACGACACAGAATAATCAGATGTCAGATTCCGGTGCTGTGTGTTCTATGTGTCTGAAATGTGTGAACTCAAAAATAAACTTTGAACAAACAGAGTTTTATGAATAAAAATGGAGACAAAGTGTCTCTTGCTTCTTACCAGGATGTGGCGTACAGCACAAACACACTGGCAGCTTGTGAGATGGCTCTGCGCGCTTCTTTGGACACGTTCACCCCATCTGGGAGCTGAGAGGAAAAACAAACGGTGCGGAGGAGTTAATGTCGGCGCTGCAGAGAGGAAGCGTTTCATCATCAGGACACAGACCAGATTTATTCATTTACTCTTAAAGATGACAACAGGAAGACGCTTTTAAATGTTTGTTCTACTTCATTTAAAGGTCTTTGAAGGATTTCTGTAAAATCCACTTCACCATGTTTCTCTAACACTAACACGTATCTCTACTTTGTCTACAGTCCATCCTCTCTGTCTTCTGCCTGCTCCACTTTTCAGAAAATGTGTGCTCAAACAGGCCGTTTGGAGATTGTCCCTTCATGACATCACAAAGGGCAGTAACCCCTCCCCCAGGTGGGTGACACTCCCACAGCTAGGTGTTTGTTCTGCCATCTGCGTCTGCCTTCTCACCGTAAACAATAGGACATGGAGCGAGAAAGCCCGAGACACCCAAGCCCTTCCAGAGAGGGGGGCGTGGTCAGACACAGCTCATTTACATATTTAAAGGTACAGACACAGAAACAGCCTGTTCTGAGCAGGGCTGAAATAGAGGGGTTTGTAGACACACATGTTTTGAGGAGCCCCATAGACTTATTTACACCGAAGAGGAGGAGAATATGTGACCTTTAACAATAAAGTCTTTCCTAAAAGTTTTCAAAGTTGTGGCGACAGTATCTCTGTCTGTAAGGACTTAGATTGAGAACCAGAGAGTCGATCCAAAATATGGAAGTTAGTCTTGTTGCTGGAGAGGGGTCAGGTCACTCCGGAGTTCAATCAATCAATCAATTTTTATTTGTATAACGTCAACTCATAACAAGTGTTATCTCGAGACACTTTACAAAAAACAGGTAAAAAGATCTTACTCATTGTTATGTTACAAAAAGCAGGTAAAAGACCTTACTTATTGTTATGTTACAAAAAGCAGGTAAAAGACTTTACTTATTGTTATATTACAAAAAGCAGGTAAAAGACCTTACTTATTGTTATGTTACAAAAAGCAGGTAAAAGACTTTACTTATTGTTATATTACAAAAAGCAGGTAAAAGACCTTACTTATTGTTATGTTACAAAAAGCAGGTAAAAGACTTTACTTATTGTTATGTTACAAAAAGCAGGTAAAAGACTTTACTTATTGTTATATTACAAAAAGCAGGTAAAAGACCTTACTCATTGTTATGTTACAAAAAGCAGGTAAAAGACTTTACTTATTGTTATGT